ACTCAGAGATCGTAAGATATTACTTATCAAGACGAGATAACGAACCCCCCCCTCTCCCCCGATATTGAAGTAGATTCCAAATTTGGAGTGTTTCTTTATTCCCGGGTGTACCTCGATATATTTGTCCAACATTGGGGTTAAAATTGAAAATATTCCGCGTAACAACGTACAATTCGACACACACCTCGAAACACGGCGCCGAGCACGCCTCGACGACGTACTGCATCCTTCGTCCTCTGCTAGCCTGCTCTATCCTCCGCTCGAGAATCCTGCTCTTGGCGGCTTGCACTTCCGAAACTCGCTCTCTGCCACTGACACCGATATACTCACGTAGGTAAGATTCGATCGGAGAATGTTAATGTATGCAAATTGACGCGACACCGACGCGCGATATGTTTCAACAATCGACGAAATATCTCACTCGCGCGACGAGCATTGTAAACAATCTCACCGACGAGACACGCATACTCCGCGTCGCGTTGATGTCTGTGTATTATTCAGCGACTCGAGACGTTCTGACGCGACGGTCACGGAGAGATACACGAGAGTACCAAAACAATCGGCAAAGTCATGCCCCAACCTTTGTAGCCTCTGCCAGTCAATGACGCAATCACGTACGCTGACTGGGAAAACAACAAATGGCGTTGCCCGAATATCTCGAGCTTTCGTGACGCTTGAATTATCAGCAGATTCTTCGGTCGATCGTAGCGCGCTCGACGATTATCGTTGGTTGATGCACGATCACTAATTAACGCCGCATTTCCGATCGATTCTCTTACCTGTGCGTTAACGACGCGCTAAGAGCCGATGAATTTTGCAGGATCAACAGGACGCAGGGGATGTGCGGCGGCAGCCAGTCTTCGACGACCGCGACTCCGTTTGATCGTCCATTGATTCGCTTATTTATCTTGATTGGATTATTTAACGTTTGTTTATCGCGATATTCCAGTCGCGAGTCGAATAAGTTAAAATTTATCGAGCAAGTTCCATTAAAATGTAATTCAATCCATAAAAGTCAAATGTATTCAAATTGAGACAGACATTCAAACAAGCTCTTTAAACTTCAATAAAACGGCAATGAATAACAATTTGTAGCATCATAAAATAATAAATTGTACAATGTTATACCGCGAGATTCCCTCCCCCCCTCCCCCCTCCATAAGTCTTTCAAGTTAGGCGAGATTCTTTTTCGCAACTCGGACAAATTCGACTCGATTATTTGAATCAAATTTGGCTTCATTGCATCCATTAGAAAGGAATTATTCATCAAGCATTGTCGCTGTCGTTTTCTACGATCAATTGGCCAACGTTTTAGTAAGAAAACATTGTCTGTATTGTCGCCTGCACTATACATACAAGATAATATTTTGTAAACAATTAAACTAAACTCTTACTTCATATTAAATATTTATGTGTACGTATATTGTGCATTTCGATACTAAAGGGATAGTAGAGGGATTATAGAAAACGTGATCTCTCTTTGTCTCCCCGGAGACGTGGTGACGTGAGTAACGTGGAGCTTCTTTATCGTTGTTGGCTGCAATTTTTCCACGGCCAAATATCGACATGTATATCGACAAATAGCGGTAATGATCGCTTGCGATCCATGTGTAATTGTGATATAATTTAAAAGAAATAAAAAACATTTCCCACCTGTCCAGAAACAATAACATTCGGTCTTCCCCACCAAGGGAACTGTGGAAGTCGTCCACAGTATAAAAGTATAAAATAACGATAGTAATCCCACCAATTAGAATGATCCATGTGTGGAATAAACCACCTCTAACTTCTTCCCTGTTGTCACAAATGGAGCTCATCAATTGGATAATTATTCCAAAGTATCACGGATAATAATGTAGCCTGTTTCCTCAGACGGAATATTAAAGTCTCTCTACAAACGTTCTCTCTCTGATGTGTTTAAGAACCGTCCGCACAACTTATCGGCGAATCTTCGTTCGATAATCAACTATTAGCACATTTACGAACGTATATTCTCTAGTTAGAGAAGCTAGTTAGTTATATCAACGATGACTATTAATCAATTATATCATTTTATAAGCGAACAATTTATAAATGAAATTGACGATGTTGTCGCTACGAACTGTTTCACACTACTGTTCCAAAATAACCAACTATGCTGAGATTCCTCTTCTGAAATCGAAGAATGCCGTCGACGCAGGTAGAAACTACATTCTAGGCGGTTGTAAACTAACATTTTTTCCGTCACGCAAGGACCGTCCTAGGGAAGGACATAGACAGACAAATCTGAAGAGCGAGTGACCCTTCCGTGTTGAAGGATAAACTCAAAAAAATTACTCGAAGTAAACAAATCGAGATCACTGTTGCACGTGAAAAGATCCGTGCGGGGAAATTTTCGAAATGTCAATTAGAAAACAACCATTAACGTAAGAACTAGCAACGAAAACTTTTGTCTATTTTTATTCTTTTCGATTATCCGTAAAACTATCTGGAATATGTTGCTTTTGTTATCAGTCACTCACACACACACACACACACACCCACACACATTCGTCTTATTTTGGAAATCGCATATTTACCCAATCTACTGATTTTATTCGTAAGAGCGGAAGCGAAAAAAGAATTAGTCCGTTTCCGGCCAGATAGGCCTTTGGAAGGAACCGATACTGGAGGCGCAACAACTCTCGTTGCATCCCTCGCTCTTATCACCCTCCCTTGTTGGTGCAGATAAGGATCGTGTAGTAACGATCTCGTCGCGAGACAAAGAGCGCACCCCGGGGGAAACTCCAACCCCCTCGTTATTAACTCGTTAGACGCGCTACTGGTATGGTTCCTCTGGTCGTTCCCTGAATCCGAGAGGACGACAATGGATGCGATAATTAGCGGACAAAGAACAGAGACTAATGTTTCCTGCTAAGTTCATCGATATAAATATGAATCTTCGACGAGAAAACGGCGGTCTTCCCTCGGCCTTCGTCGGAATTTCGGACAATGAGTCACACCCTTAAGTGCCGTCAATGAAATATCTCACAGTATAGCCATCTTTTCTCTCTCTCTCTCTCTTTCTCTTCAGGCTAAATGTCTCCAGGCTATCATATTTTGTGAAAGAATAGTTTTCTCGGAGAACGTAAGTCATCGACTTTTAAATCCTTCACAATATGATATATACGACAGAGTCCTTGTGAGCATATCTGAGTTACATTCTAACGCGGGAAAGTTGTCGACTTAACAGAATATAAACATGCATCGATAATACGCGAGCGTAATTTTGTTCAAGAGCTATCATTTTCCCGAGATTTCGTACAGTCGGACGATAAAAAAAGAGATAAGATAGCCGATACTTTCTCATGCTGAGTTAGGACTATTAGGGTATTGAACTAAAGCAACTGCGTGAAATAACGACATTCTTTATAGATTTCAAAGAGAGAAACTCAGTCGAATGCAATATGACCTGGTCACGTTTTCTTTCGTTTTCTTCTTTGGTACATAGGTACGCATTCACAGTTTTATAAAAGAATATCTATCCTATGGAAGGAAGCACACGTTCCATAAAACAATACCTATCTTATAGAAATCTCACAAAAAGAGGTCACTTTTGATCAATCTGAAGCCTATAGGATGAAAATATTGCAACCCGACCTGATTTTAGTGCCGACTGTACACGAGGTTTAAAAGGGGCGATACAAGAAACAGGTCAAAGCTTCAAAAGTGCGTGACGGATTCCTGGTCATTTACTACATTCTTTCTCACCTCCTTTTTGTCAGAATTTAAACCGTTAGTTCTGAGAAAATGGACCCGAATTTTTGATGAATTTTATACAAGTTATTATTGATACAAATATAATACGCATGTAGCCGTCAAATATTGCCATTTTTTCACGAAAATAGAAGAAGCTCAATAAAGAGGAAAAGTTTCTCGCTTATATAATTTACGTGAAAAAGCATTGAGAAACGAGGCGTATATATACGAGACGAATTATATCAAACAATTGCTTCTACCTGACGTAAATAAATTCTCGACAGACGAGAATTCCTCAAATTTCTGCTCCTTTCTCACTTTCACCCGCACCTTTCCCCTCATTCTAACGGAACCACAAAGTGCTACCGCAAAGCAAACGCTAGACAGACATCCCTCCCTCTTTGTGTGTTTTTTGCATGGCATATCATGTAACACACTCGCGATGTGCAGAATTGCAGTTTGACACCTACGATATCAAACAGCACAGCTTCGCGTGCCTTTCGGCATCGCCATAGAGAAAAACGCTTTACTCTTTCCTGATGACTCTCCGTGGCCTTTGACATTTCGTTGACGAACTGACGCGACGTCATCGTGTCAAAATTGAATATTGCCATACGTTATGAAAAACGAGACAGCCCGTCAAATGAGTATCGCGCGCCAAACGCAACGCCGGAAACGCCACGATGTAACATTCCTCTCCACATGCAATTTTACAAATGCAAATCAAGCACACGTCCCGTATGTTAATCAACGCGCTTCCGTCAGCTATCGTTCCTCTATTTCTCCGGAACGTCACACGCTCGACATTTTCCTGCGCACTTTTACTTTCCGTTGCCACCAGTTGCACGGCGTGCAATGTTGCAGCTTGGCCAAGACAGGCCAAAATGCAACATTTCCACACTCTCTGTCTCTCCGCATGCTTTCCTTTCGCTCGAAACGCCCGATAGAGAGAAAGACGGATGAAGAGAAAAAAACGAGGTAGACACGTTTTAGGTAGGCGCCTTTAGCTTTCGGCAAAGAGTGACAAATATCATCCCGACATTAAACGGATAGACACTTGAAGATCCCCAGATGCGATTGGGACAAACGAGCTAACACGCTTGAGCAAAGACCCGGCTGAAAGACAAAAGCTCTCTCGCGGCCTTGCCGACAAACGTGCACGTGTCCGGAGGGTCGCGCCTTTCTTTTCGGGAAGCAGCGGATATGGAAATCGGAGATTGCAAGTTATTGACGGACACGGCTGTTCAAGCTGCGTCGCCATATTCAAGTAAAGCTTGACTAACCTTCTGTTGTGCCAGCCTGAGCGACTCCTCGAAGTGCTTGTGAACCGCTTGCTCGGCCGCCCTCTGCTTCTCGAGCCTCTCACGTTCCATCTTCGCCTCTCGCTCGCGCTTCTCCAGCTCGCGCACTTCCGCCTCGCGGCGTTCCCTGTAACAAGCAGCGGGAAGCGTCCCGTCGTTATCACGGCGATTATGCGAATCGGTGCGTAGAAATTGGCCGGCGATCGGCGGCGATTCGCGTCGCCGTTGGCGCGAGTGAGCGAGCGAGCGAGCACGTTGCTTTCTCGCTCTCGGTTAACTCGGTTAACTCTGCCGGATCGCGACCTTCATTGCGACGCAATTTTCCAGCAGGTCTTAATTAATTGTATAAATTAATAATAAATTACGCACACATACACATAGGCGACTATTTGCGACACTCGCGCGTATTTCGAGAGTCTCGCTCAACTCCGCTCGGCTCACGTTCTCGCACCTCAACTCGCGCGCTCTTTTGTCAACGCGCGCGATCGTTATCATCGCGCGAAGCGTTATCTCCGGGTCGAAACTGGCCGAGAACGCGCTTCGATAATCAAAGCCCATCACAGAAATACTTTGGCACAGAAATAGAAGGAAAAAATAACTGCGACCTCGCCTCGTCGTTGACTGCGCGAGAGGCGAGAGAGCGTCTTCATACATTGCGCGTTCCGCAGCGACGCCTAAACGACAGACGTAATTTATACGCACGTAATTTATACGGCCGTAAAGGAACTCGGCCGCCGGTTCTCTCTCATGCTCCCTCGCACTCACATTCCTTATCGATCTATCTTCGCTCCACGGCCTGGCCGCCTTCGTAAAGCTCGCTGTCGGAAATAGCGGATAGCGTGGTGCGACGAGAGAGAGAGAGAGAGAGAGAGAGAGAGAGAGAGAGAGAACACGAACTGGTGGCACGGAAGGGTTGCAGCCGACCTTCTGAGCGCGTTATCAGCTGCCGCCGTTATCGGATCGCTCGCGGATTCGATCGCACGTTCCAATGCTCGCGATACCGCGCGCGCGTTGAGATCCTTCTTTTTCTCACTTTGGTCATATTTCTCTACCGAAGCTTGCGAAGGAAGGAACGTGTGATTTCGCGCGATCAAGAAAGCAACGATGATGACGACAGTCATCAAGAGCGGCGTACAATAGGCTTTCGCTTCTGCCAAATCGCATCGTTAGATTCGCAATCGAGTTGTTTCGTATTTAATACCAATTGCGCGCCAGCTTGAATAGAAAAGAAGAAAAAGCAAAGAAGAAGGCTAGAGCCTAGAAGAGTAAGCTTCTTCTCCTCGCATCGCGGAGAAATTCGCTCGCCTCGCGTAAATATAACGCGAGACCGTCTGCGCGCGCTCTCTCTCTCTCTCTCTCTCTCTCTCTCTCTCTCTTGCGCGCAACGACGATAATAAAACGCAACGGTTGCCTCGGTATATATCTCGCGACTTTTTCAAGGGGGCGCGGGGAGATAAGCATTCATTAACGCTTGCGCAAGTTATTTATACTGTTACGTGCGCAACGCGCGTGCTTATCTGCGCGCTCGGTCGGCGGACCTTACAATGCACGCGCGATAAATACGTCCGCACGTATCTTTTTCCATTTCGTATCTCTCTCTCTCTCTCTCTTTTCCTCTCTTTCCTTCCTCCTCTCGCTCGTTCCCCTTTATCTCTGCGCGCAGATGTTCGCGCGCGCGAGTGCGCGGAACGTATTCTCGTGTATTCTGACATCGTTCTGAAAAACCAGACTGTCTTGGCTCACGAAGGTATTTCTTTGCCCCTGTTTTGTGATTGTTAAAACCGAGCCGCACGCGAGTAAGAGAGAGAGAGAGAGAGAGAGAGAGAGAGAGAGAGTTTTTGGAACTTTTGGGCCCTACCTGTTTGACCGAATCAACCGGAGTAACACTCGTTTACCTTCTCAAGGCCGCACGCGAGTAAGAGAGAGAGAGAGAGAGAGAGAGAGAGAGAGAGTTTTTTTGGAACTTTTGGGCCCTACCTGTTCGACCGAATCATCAACCGGAGTAACACTCGTTTACCTTCTCAAGGCCGGTTATCGTCCCGCTCAGCTGACGTCACCGTCTGATTTTGTCAAGGTGAAATAATATTTTGCGTGATACTCTGTATACGTTCTCGCAAGAGAAATAAATCTTAATCAGACGAGACAGGGAGTTGAGAGTTGTAAAATTGCGAGGCACTTCAGGATTCCGATTCTGCCTTTCCTCTCGATAATCCCGGGGAGTCTCCGCCTCGCGACAATGTAGGAGGAAAAAGCGATATGTAACTTGACGTCGATTAGCCGGGTTACCGATAATAACGTTACTCAATACTTTCATTCATCGAGTGTCGACGCTCCTCAGCGACAAAACGCGCGCGCGCAGATTGTCCAGGCGGGGCAAAGAAATTAATCGGGGCGCGTCTCGTATTTATTGGCTCGGCATTAAGATTCATAAGCACAAGCGTCGGCGAATCCTCACGGTCAGAGTGTCGAGGAACTGCGTTTTTCAGCGATTTCCGAGGACGCAGCACATCGGGCTGCGGTGTTTGCATTCCGATACTCCGCGACTCGACGCTCACGACCGAGGACACGCTACCCCAAGCGCGTGTATATCACTGCAATTGTGTAAACAACACAGACTTATCTGCCCCGCGGTTCGCCCGACACCGAGCGCGGAATAGGAACGCGATTACGAGCGGCAGCTCGCCCAAGCATTCGCTCGCCAAGTGACTCCGTTTTATCTAACGTTTCGGGCAAATTCGCACGTACGGACGCGGCGAGTATAATCGGAACGACGCGATGAATTTTGCGATTCGGCGAGTCGAGTCGCACGCACTCGGCAACGAGCGCGTCAGGAAAGCACGTAAACGCCGCTGTTCGTGAAAACGAGCTTCAAAATTGCCGCAGCTCCGAGCGAGCGACGACAGAAGCTGGCAAACCTATCTGTCGTCATCACACGCGCGCGCTCGCACGAGCGAAAGTATATCACGTCGCGACGTAATCATCGAGCGAACACGTGGCTCGGTTTAATGAGACATGAATCAAGCTTCAGGAACGTATCCGTCGACGAGCTCGGCGCCTCGACCTTCGAAACGGTAAAGGTCTCGCGCGCGCGCGCACACATCGGCGTGCAATACTTGCGCGCGTCGGTGACAATTATTTCTATCCAATTGTATTATCGTTAAAAGACAGCTGGACGACGACTGAGAGAGATAACGAGCGAGAAAGAATCAGAATGAAACGGTTTCATCGCGCCCAGTCAACTCCGACAATAGCCGCGCAGTTTACCTGACACTTGATCCGCCGATTATGAGGATAATGATAAATGAGAATAATGATAAATGAGGATAATGATCAATATTGTACAAATTAAGAGTGACAAGTCTCGATATGCTCTTCGAACTTGGAACCATCATCAGAGGCGGACGCACTGCTCTCCGAGCGCTGCGAACGCCAGTGTTACGAAACGTTCTGCATAACGCACGCGTTGTTGTCGGTCGCGCAGTCAGCGCGGGGCGGGAAGGGGGGAGGGGAGAGGAGGGAAAGGCAGATCCCGTTGACGCGTTCAAGCGTGCATGCCTGACGAGCGCGCTTCTCGCCCGGAGGAGTCGCCACGATGGCGCGCACAATGCGCGCGCGCGACATAATGCAACTCAGCAGCGAGAGTGGCCGCGGCGGCGAGCGGGGAAGGAGGGAGGGGAGACGAGAGAGACGCGGGGACTTTGCAGGAGAGATCCGCGCCCGAAGAAGCGCGCGCGATGCATTCTCAGAAGGCGTAGCGTGTCGTTACCGGGCCGTTTCTTGCACACCGAAGTAGGCCTGGCCTGGCGCGATAAGATCCTACGCGTCGAATTTTAAGCTGGATTACAGACTTGAGCACGAACTTGAACGCATGAGGCAAGCCGAGGCCGCATGAGCATGCGAGTGCGGACGTTGGTCCGAGGCGAGCGCTGTCGGTCCATCAAAGATGATAATTCGTGGTCGAGTTTGGACGCACTCGAGCACGCGTACGGAAGATGGCCGCACACGACGCGAAAAATTAATTAACAGAACTGCTGACTCCGAACGACCGGAGCAACGTCGAACAGTTGCCTCGACTTGCCTCGTGCGTTCTTCAATTTTCAATCCGAGGCATTCGGTGTGTGGCCTCAGCTTGCCTCGTGCGCGTTGTTCGTGCTGAAATTCTGTATCCAGCTTTAGGCGGGTCCACGCGAGCGAGCCAGGACACGCTCGAGCCCCTCGCGCGCGGCAGAGCCTGTGCGATTCGCGTATTTCGCTCTTGAATAATCCCCTCCCCCCCCCTGAATGAATAATGCGCTCCCGACATTCTCGGATTTCGATCCGACGAGAGTTAAAGCTCGGCCTCGGCTCGCGGCGAGTCGCGTCGACGATAAGGGCGGGCGATAACGTTCACAGACACAACGAGGCTGTTTCTTCTGCAGCACGTAGGAGTGAGAGACGGAGAGACGGGAGGGGGAGAAAGGGACTTCGCGCGCCAGGGGTCAATGTGATTCAAAGAACGCACGGCTCTACTCGGAATGACTGGTTTCTTCGGTGAGGTTAATCGCCAGACGGGAAAGATGGTCGAAGGCCGGTCTGCCCCAGGAATTCCCATCCTTCTCTCTCCCTCCCTCTTCGTCTCTTTCTCGCTCCCGGCAGGATCATCTGCTTGTAAGTCGAGCAGGCCCGGGCGTTGTTATTGGGCCCGACCAGCCCTATCCGGCTTAGTTAATAAACCGGTTCACGGACTGGCAGCAGGATTCTTGCCGCCTGTTGGTCGGCAGGAAGAGCGAGGGAAAGAGGGAGGGAGGGGGGCACAGGTCGACACACGAAAAAATTCGACCACTGAAGGACCGAGTCCCTCCACGGGCAGGTAGTACGGGGAATTTTAAACGCTTCATTGTCTTCCTATGCTTCGCGTGGAACGGGCGTTGTACTTGTAACTCCGCTCGGGCCGAGCGACAAACTTGCGCTGCTCGTTCGCTCGTATCGACGCGTCTCAAACAAACCGCGAATCAACGATGAAGTGGACACACGCGAATTTTGCGACCTTTCCTCGCGAGTTCCTTCGATGCGCGCGCGATTCACCTCGGCGAACATTTGTCGGACTGCTCGCAACGTTACAACGTGGACGTTTTAAAAGCGAAGCTT